CCACTATGCAACAGAGAATTGATTAGTTTTTAATTTACAAAGAGGTTTGCATCACTTTCTTGATTGCTTTTCATTCCAATTAGCCAAATCAAAACGATTAAAAGGATATGCGCTGAGAGCCATAGCAACCGCAGAGTAGATATATGAACCAATCCCGTAAGCTGCATTTACATAATGAATTTTAAGTTTATTTACTCTACTGAAGTTCAACCACAGTCAAACAAAACTGATGATCAAAAACTCCAGCAACATACACATTATACTAGCTTCCTGATTAGATAAAATACAGAATGTTAAAAGTAAAATGCTTGAATAAGCGCCGCACCAAACCTGATTTTTATTCGCTAAGCGGTGCTTATTCGAGAGTATATTATTACCCTGTGTGTAATGAAACACTGAGAAACAGGGTTTTAAATACGATGATTCAGTGTTAAAAATGAATAAATAACACAATGAAGACACAAGCATTTCTTTAAAAACAATTATTTACGATGACGTAGTGTAGGACCTATGATAGGCATAGGACTACGGAAATATGTGAGATAGGGAACTAGGGAATAGGCATGGAAAGCTCCATGCCAATATTTTTTTATAAGCGCCACTTTCAAATGAGCACCGCACTGAAGCATCCAAAAATTGTATAAGCGCCGCGGCGCTTATTTGAGCATTTACCACCGGCCTACAAACTTTTATATAATAAACTAACATGTTTATATATTATTTGCGGTATCTTATTAATGTTATATCATTATCAATTCCAGTTTATATTATTATTTATTTTTTATTCAGTGTTTGCATTATTATCAATTTGCTATACCTTATTAAATATTTATTTATTAATCACAAAGGGAAAATCAGATAAATATAAAGTTCATAATAAAAAATAGTTTTAACAGAAATATAATTCTATGGTTAAGCACTGGTTTGCATATTATGGCCTTGGATAGAAATATTGTTTGTCAATGGTAAAATATTGAAGGTCAGTGATGGGATTCAATTTAATTATGCACTCTTAAATCTCATTAGTTTGTGCCTCTAACAAGGTTCACAAAAGCTGAAAATGTTGCATGTAACAAATTTCAATAAGCTCCCAAATCAATCGAGATCAATTAGACAATTGGAATTTCCTTGATGCACTTATTAGTGGCAATGAGGCGATCAGAATTTCAGTAACGTTTAGTAATCTTAAACTGAAAAATTGCTTCTGTGTTAGCACTCTTACTATACAGTACCGTATTCGTAAAATATTTTTTCAGGGACAAAATGTATATTTCATTCTTATATACATCCAGTACGAATTTGCCAATACATAGGATGCAGTTTTTGTCATTACTTTTTAAAGATGATTGACGTTGGGCCGTAACAAGGAGTTTTCTAGCCAAATATGACATAGGGTTCTTAATTTATGTTCGCAAGCTGCAACAAAATTGTTGTAGAGCTGGATATGGCCGTAGGCTGCATTTCTTTTCACCTGTGGAATATACAATATGCAACACCTAGTATTTGTGTATGATTTTAACCAAGACTTTAGAATTGGAAGGCAAACACTGTAATCACCAATTCACAGCTGCAGATTCTCTTTCATCATCTTACCTTATTAAATTGTACTGACAATAATGCTACATTCTAATTAACCATGTTCATTATATCTGCAAATAATGTTATGATTTCATATGAATATTTATAAATAGATGATATAATTTAAAACCTTGGTTCTTAGAGTGATGAATTACTGAAGACCAATTGTTTCCCCCAGCATTTTTCTAATCAGCTCTTTGTACAACCTTGCCATCTTTTATCGGCTTACAAATAATGGATTCAACTTTGCTATAAATATTCATCTGCGGATATAAGACTAAAACGCCAGATAGGTATGAAGTTTGATCTTCTCGGAGGGTACGTTTACATGAAGTCTTAAGCCAGATTGATAAGGTGGCTGCAATAGTGTAGTATATACGCCCTCGACGAGCCAGCCCTGTCATTCTCCAAAACTGCTTCATTCATCAAAGCCAATGCTTTTGATTTCAAAGATGAAACCAATCTCTCGCGGGGGATTTCATCAGGACAGCTGTTTTCGTGGCAAATAAATTCAACATTTTCTCATTAATGCCTCTCACTGGCTTCCTGTATGCCAAACGGGGATCTGAACTTAGTTAAGCATTGATTAAACAACGTCTCCTTGGGGAGGTTATTCTACTTCTAGTATTATCGATCCACGTGCAATATGATGTGATTTAAGCCTACGTTTAATTCGCCTATGTAACATAATGTAGCCTTGCCCATAACTCCGCCGACCAATGCACCTGCATGTTCAATCCCGTGCTTTGAATACACAAGATAAATACGCTTGGACTATAATCGCTTTTAGTTGATGTCATTTTCCTTAACCTACAGTCCATCCACACATACTCGCCTACACATACATGATACTAAAATAGCCTGGTAAATGTGGTAAACCCTGACCAATGCATTCTGCCTCATGGGGTATATCAATTTTATTTGTACTGTTTTGACATTTTATGCGATATAAAATATATCAATTTCAAGGAGGAATATAAACTTCTTTATGTGGTAGGGCTACAAATTACCGTATACGTCTTCCTTCAATTTAAAACTGGAATTCGTCTTTAACTATAATAATAAAGATTAAAGACATTTGTTAATTTGGGGTCACATAAAAGTAGTCATTAATTGGAGAGATCTTTCATTAGAGGAAGACCTGTATAGCTACAGTATGCAGACCATGGATTAAGTGATGGTAGAGTACCATACTACTAGTTGTGCTATGTCATTGAAAGTCTAATCAACAATTTTAGAACTATAAAATCCATGAATTAAAAATTTAGAAAGCTTCGAAACTGTCTGAGAGTGTAAACATAAAAAGGCAATTAGGTCGTAATAAAATGAAATTGAAATGTTGGATGCTTTCATATGTTCCACACGCAATAACAGCGTTAAATCATTACTGCTCGTATTTTTAACATCCAAATACTTTTGATAGCTTTTCAAAAATGATATGAAACAATGCATTCTGAAACACAAAACAGGTTGAAGGTACAGATTACTTCAACAAAAGGTAAACGCCCTTTACTGTTTTGTGTTTAATTACTGTTTATAAACCCATGATAGAACTCGTATTTCGAACCTGTCAATCATAAAGGTGAATTGATGCGAAAGCAGGTTACTTCCGTTGACGGCACAATATGTTTGGTTTACAGTATGTTATCAGCAAAATCTAGGATGGATAACATTATCGGTTGTATGTTCATTGCAGCTTCAAAAGCATGGCGTGCAAAAATATATAGCAACAGCATCATGTTCAAATGCATGTACACCTTTACCATTTTGAAATTATTTTTGAATAACAGGTCTATTTTGGAATTGAAATGTGGTGTAATATTATGACATTTTCATAAGTTGGGAAAACTTTTTTGGTAACAAATATTATTCAAGAAGATACAATGGAAAGCAATGTACAAATGAACCATGGGACTGGAAGCTTTCTATCCACTAAACTATAGCTCTTCACTCCTTCCTTTAGGTTGTCATCATTCATAGCTTCTAATGCTACCTGTGTCTTCTAAACTTCTTTGATACATGCAATAATCCTTTATTTTCATATTCACATTTTTCAATTGGTTTGAATTGATTAAAAGATTACTTTTTTACCATTCAAATATTCTAATTACATTCTTTGACTTATGTTTTAGCAGTACGAAAAAAATAAAAACCAGTGTTTTAAACTACAATGAAAAGTGAATGAACCCGTAATTCCCACACCTGCCAGAGTTATCTGAGTAGATGTAGAAGAGGCAAAATAGATTGCAAGAGAATCCTCTTCAAAAATGGCAGTGCAGATGTTATCAACAATGACAGAGAAAAATTGTCTTTGTTAACAGATACTTAACTTAACACGGTACATACAAATAGTGTTACAGAATGATATTAATTAAACGTATTTGATTGATTGTAAACGAAAATAGTTTGTATAATATTAACACCATTGCAATCAATGACGATGACTTAACCTTAGAGAAGTAGGTCAACGACGATGAGGGTAATAATTGTCATGGAGATGGTTGTCATTAAAAGTTCTTGCCCGAGGGCGGTATTGATTCTATATAATATAATTTATGTCAATTATAGGTACATACTAATTATGGCTGACGCTTATGTATTACAAGCTTTGATTAGAGGAAGTTTCAACTAAGCCAGTCTGGTTAGGTAGTTAGATTTTAACTGGAATATTTTGAGACTTTTAATATGTATCCTTTGGCACGCAAAGTTCATCCTCATTGGTACTTATGTCTGAACTCGGGGATGGACAGCCACATTGCAGCATATTCCCACCTGCTAAATTTTTTCAGCCAACTTTCAGCAGTTCATTGGCGATGTTATTCTTGTTTAACGCCTTGTTCAGGCTCCTTTCATTCAAGACTTATTACCCCCCTGAGGCCTAACGAGTCGTGAAAGACATACTTGTCCATAAATCTTTCTTTAATAAGCTTCTGTATAGCTAAATGCTACTGTTTGCTGATGTTTCCACCAGATTGGGAAGGATATGACCAGCTGGGAATGTTAACATTTATCTAGAAAATGACAAATTATCACAAAATCACTCAAATTTGTGACATTTAAATATACACAAGAGAGGAACTAAAGAAATTGGTAGTTAAGGGTAAAGTAAGATGGCTGAATTAGGGGAAACCATAATTAATTATTAATATAATCATTTTTGGTCATCATTAATATTAGACCTATTATTAATCTCTCATAATTATTACTAAGCTCTCTTTTTAAACATTTTTAAATAAACATTAATGAGGATAGAGGGTTGTTCCCAAAGAGCGATGTATAGGCCTTTAGGCTTACCAAACAATTTATATGTATAAAAAAAAATTATCTATCATTCAAGAAGATGGTTTGTTTGTCCTGGCAAATCAAACAATAACAAATACAGTATATCTAAATGTGTAGAACTTTGCATATTGTTCACTTACCTATTACTGTCAATGTGTACTTGATATTTACGCTTCCAAAACCATTAGTTGCCTGGCAAACAAATTCGCCAGCATCTTCCATTTGGACGTTCTTTATTTTTAGACTAGGTCTATCTTTATTTATCTTGTAGCGTTCCCAATCTGTACGGATTCTCTCATCTTGCTTTTTCCAGATGATGAGTGGAGGTGGGGAACCAATAGCGGGACACTCTAGTTTTATTGTCCGGCCAACTCTGGTCCTTTGTTCCGGATTCACCGTTCCAGCCACCTGTGGTGGTCCTAAGAAGGTAAAAACAATTCATTTATTTATTTTTCAATAAATTATGAAATGTCAGACATAAAAAAAAAATATACAATTTCTCTCCAACCCCAAATTGCTATTCAACTACTAAAAATAATGATACAAAATTAGGATTATATGTGATCACATTACAGGTTTGGAGTCCTAACTGGAACAACCTGAAGTAAAATCACAAAAATGATCTTACAATCTCAATCGTTCACATATTGCATGCTAATATTAAACATATCATTGATCATATATGAATTCATGCCTATTCAGTTTTTTAATGATGATAAATATATCAAAAATGTGATGGAATTTTATGCAAGATGCCATTACTGCCACCTAAGAAGCAAAACTTCACAAATTTCACTGTTTATGACTGAGTACTTGCTTCATTAATCTTTTTTGTCACATTAAAATGTAGAGGATCGGATAAATAATTGAGAATAGACCATTAAGAGTAATGAAAATGAAAATTAGACAGTAAATAATGCACTATTCGCTCTTAAATATGGACTCGGGCAAAAATGTCAACCATCCTGACAAAGGTTCAATGTTAGTCCACGGGCATTGTGATTTAAAGGGCGAATATATCAGCCTCAAATCCTGGCCAGGGCATGTCAAAGAGCTGTCCCAATTGATTTTTTTTTTTAGTAACAAGATTCTACAACACTTCAGTACTTGAGATACGGGGGAACTTAAAATTGAATCTCTGTAGATCTAAGGTTAAGTTATAGATTTCAATTGAAAAAATGAGAATTTTTAAAGAAATATTTTTTTATGTGTTTTTTCTCTTCAATTAACAGATGCATAAATTATATCATTCCTATATTCTTTACATAAATTATCTGGTAATCACGAAAGTTCTGAAGTAAAATGTCTTTAATCAATTAAAAATGAATTGTTTCAACCTGTCTCTTTGTTCATACCTTATTTGTTTATTTTAATTAAGTTATTTTTGAAGATTTTATTTCAGATGGCAGAAATACTAAATCTTTAAATACAAATTTAAGCATATATATCGAGACAAGAATGTAGGCCTAAGTAAGCCGGTAATACTAATAGTATCATTAAACTGACTTTCTATAAAATAATAAAGCAAGTACCTATTGTTTACACAACATGAAATACAAAATAATAAAAGAAAGTACATATTGTTTACATAACATGAAATCAGACCTGTAACAGAGCCTACATAATGAACTCTACTCGAACAAGCAGCTGATACAATACAAGGAAATACAAACTTAAGTAAACAATATCTAAGACAACGAATATATAGAAACAGCTTCCTTTCAGTCTGAGTAATCTTTAGTATCACTGAAAGAAGTTTTCTTGTGCTTCATGTCGTTTAACGATACAGAAACGCAGGAGGTATCACCAATTTAATACCGTTGTTTTCTGTCCATATTTCTCAAAAGATAGCTCCTGTATTGTTTTAGTTTTCAATATTTTGATTTCTATATCCTGTGCGTTTGATAATTTTTGGCTTCTTATACATCATAATCTGTACTATTTTGACTGATTTCTGGAATTATTTAAATAAGCAAATATCTAAATAATAGGTCTAATCATCAAAGTTACTCAAGTTTAATGAACTTCGTAGGTCAAAATAATAAACGTCATTGGTGAACTCTAATTATATGGGCCAATTTTCTCATATTGTGGATACAACATAGGATAATTATGGAAGGCAATTACTGCCAAAAGTACAAAAGGGAGCAAACTATGCACATTCACCATGTGTTTTCAAAAACAATGTACATTTGTAAACAAATCATATAATATTCATAAGCATTCTGTAAAACAATTAGTGAAACCTACAATGTCTTAACATATGCATATTACCAAAGAGTACAGAATTGCAAGTGATCCAACTGCCCTGATTTTGTATGCACACAATGGAATGTTTAAAAAAAAAGTACTGCCACGAAATAGGTGGTGCCCTATTATAATTCAAATAGAGCTCGCTTCAAACTCGTCTTTTAAGGACACGCCCCTTCATGGCAATACTTTTTGAAATAGGATTACGTTCTATGAGAGTCAAACCTATTGTAGTTCTATACTCTTTGCTATTACTATAGAGAGTTGAAAAAATATGTGGTAATGATCCCTTGATTAAGAAGCAAAATAAGCTTTTAAAAAGACAAACAATATTTGTAAGAAAGTCATGCCAGTTTCTCATTAAAAATGTTATTTTAAAGTAAAATAGAGTGCTTTAAAGTTGAAAAGTTCATACCTAATTTAAAGGTTCTATATTTGGTTGAATATAAAAAAAATGCTAATAGGTCGAATGCGCTTCAATTAATCACAGGTTTCATTTTAATAAACATAATTCTTATCTAGCACAAAAGCCTACATGTATATAGAGTATAACAATACAAGCTAGATTAGCCTAGTGCTATTAAGCCATGCTAGGCATAAATAGAAGATTATAATGGCCGGACTAAACATATTCACGGATGCAACAGGAAGACTGAATGCTAGATTTTTTGGCACACATTTTCATAAGTGACGGCAGTCATTTTTGTTAATGTTACGACAACATGGGATACATTAATGCTTCTATACTTAATATAAGTATACTTTTGGGATACATAAATTATATCTCATGCTCTACTAAAGACTTGGATACTTGGGTTTATATATTTGAGTGTTTAGCAATTTCAGAAATGTGTTCAAGCTATCCTTTTAAGTCTACTACTATATATACAATAACAATAGCTCGTGTGTGTTTATTTCGTCAAGTATTTTACTGACAATGAGAACTATTCAATGAGATGACCAATCTAATGACCTGTATCTGCCTCTGGGATTGACCATCGAAGATGGACAACGACGATTATCCAATATTGAAATCAAGTGCAAAATGCTCATGATACTGCTGTACTTTATGCCAGATTATATCTATTAAAGCTAGATTCAAAACGTAAACTTGCATAAATTCAATATGATTAAAACCGGTGGTTGTATGTAGCTTGTTGGTATAGGTACCTGCATAGTCACAAAATCCCCAGCATTAATTATTATAAAATTCTCAGAACTTGCATTACAGTATTTAACATTGTTGATGCATATATAGTACTACAGTATGCAATATGTTATATTTAGGCCAAACTGCTATAAACCTTATGCTTACTAGGAAAAATATTTTTCTGGCTTTCCTTTCCTTGGTTTATGAAAATAAAAATAAGGAGGAACTCAAAAATAATAAGGAAAGAGTACAAAAAACATATATTTTTTGTTGTACTTTCTTAATGGCAGTCTGCTGAATAAAAATTCCTAAAAAAATTACATGATAAAAAAAAAAAAAAAAAAAAATGTTGCACTTATTCTAAAAAAAAAAAAAAAATGTTGCACAGTAAATATAAAAATATAAAAAATTATGCCTACAAATATATAAAAGATGATCTCATGCACAGATGATACTTCTACAGTTAGCTAATGTGCATGACACAGCCTATCAAATTAGGCTTGACTTTTTAAACTAAAGATGAGAAAGAAATCCAAGAATTTTAAATAAGTAGAACTAAGCATATTTTGCTAGGTTACATTACTAAGTAATTCACTGTGAAATGTTACTAATCAATAAACCATTCTCTATCTTGACATCAATTTTAAAACATAAATGATTCAAAGAAATGATGCGCAATAACTCTGTTCCATTAGGATGCCGAGGCAGAGACGAGCCTGTACTATGGAAGCTACGACAGGAATGCAGCCTGCATACAAAGATGGCTTGCGAAATATATTTACACTAGCAGACTTGACATGGGCACTAAGGTGGATCCAAGGGTCTTATTTTAACTCATACTGTAGTTCTATTTTCCTCTTATCAAGATTAAAGAATACTTTATTTTCATCAATCAAACAAGTGATAATACTAAAATAAATAATACTAATATTACTTATAATCATGTGACAATGCTTCAAACATTCATTCTATGATATTACTTAGTACGAAAGTGTTTTATAAATATTCTTAATTTAAATATGTAAGTTCTCATGCTATTTTTTTTTTCCAAAATTAAAAAAACAACATATTTCCCATCAATAATTTCCTACTATGAATGAGTAAATGTTATTCTTTAACCAGCAAGGTTATAAGTCAAAATTAATGGAGTTATTATTTACAAGGCTCCTTTTGAATACCCACCTAATATGAGAGTAAGTCAGCGAGATGATAAATTGCATATAAAAATGCAATTCGCAAGTTGGCAGAGCCAACCAACTCTCCATATATTTTATTTGGAGTTTGCTCAGTACAGCACGCACAACAATGTCTGTCACAAGTCCATAGTAACAGCATGCACGGAACACAAATCTTACTACAGCACAAATCGAAGGCTCAACAAATTATCATATATCTAAATAACATATCTCTACATTGATTAACTACGTCAATTAAATAAATTCATTAAAGATGATAAACTAGAGCATGAGCTTGTAACTATAGTAACAGCAGAAGCTTATACACCAGATGGTTCCTACTAATTAAAATTTTACTGAACAGGCCAATCAGATGCAGATTCCTGTTTAAGTTTAATGCAATATATTCCTTCTTATCTATCGAGAATAATCAAATAATTTAGTAATTAATGACTTAAAACCACCACAATGCTGATATCCAGTGGAAAAGAACGAACTTGCATAATTGGCATTCAGAAAATATTCATATGAAGAATATCTTGAGGAGATTTATACCAAAAATAACTGGTTTTAAAGTACACCATCGTTTCGAAATGGACAAGATAAAATATCATTAAGGTTTAATCAGTTCTACGGCAATAATTATTCTCATTTGAACTCAACTTTTCATTTGATTTTAAAATTTTTCTATATGAATTGCTGTCGATAGTGAGATGGAAGATGGCAATCTAAATTGAAAGAAAATATTTTTTTCAAAAAACATATGAGAAAACTAAATTGTGTTACATATCCTGAAGAAATAAAAGCTTTTAATATTTTCTAATATTAGAAACTTTATGAACTG